ACTAGAGCATCAGTCTTATTTTACACTTCACTAGTATTTCCTAAAACATTATAAAAATGAAGACAGACCAGGCAGGGCATGGCTGGCATACTGTTATAATCCCAGCACCTAGGAGGCTGAGGCAGGAGGACTGTTAGGAGTTCAGGACCAGCCTGAACTGCAGTGAGACCTTGTCTCAACCCCACCCCCTTACAAAGAGACAGAAGAAAAGGAAACATCCTTCTGGCTGTTTAGTGCCCAATAAACAGGAACAATGTTAAAACAAATCAGTTGTCACCCAGAATGTCTCTCAAGGTGCTGAGCGTGTAGCAGGCAGCACTTGCCTCGTCCACACCAAGGTCCTAGGTTCCATCTCTGGCACCTCATACACGAAGAATCCCTTCAGCCAGGCACACTAATGATCTGAAGACTCACCCAGAGCCTTGCATCTTTTTCCACTGGAAATTTGAAATCACTTTCCATTTCCCACCTGAGCTTCCTCTTTCCTTTTTCATTCAAGAGACCTTGCTATCCAACAGCAGGGAGGCAATCTCATTTTTGTGTTGTCCTTCAACTGGCTCTAGCTCTCTGCTGTTAAATATAGGACTCGGGCGAATAGCTACCATATGTTCCTGGCCAATTACTTAACCCCACTAAACTTCAGCTTATCTGCAAAGCCACGGCTGGGATAATCTTTACCTCCCCAGGCGTTCTGCGGCGACTAGATGAAATAAAACAAGCCCAGAGCACAAAGCAGCCATTTAAGTAAGATGCGCTCTGGTTCTCAAACTGTGGCTGCTCTCAGAACCCAGGATGACCAGACTTTTTTTTTTTTTTTTTTTTTTTAAACACAGTACTGGGGAAAGAAATAAAACTTGTATCATTTATATTTACTATCCCACTGGTATCAGATACACAAGCTTAAAGCCTGTATTTTACATTTTGACCATCACTTAATTCTACTTGTGTTTACTCCACTTTTTAAATATTTTTTCTAGGGCCGGGGAGATGGCTCAGTAGATTAAGCACTTGCCTGGCAA